ACCTAATACAAGACAGACCAGACCAGAGTACAGCCAGGGAAACAGTGAGTAGCTGAGGCCAGGCCGGGGCTGTTCCCTTATGGAAAAAAGGAGAAACAAGACCCTCTGCCAGTCAGGATACAACAGGCTGTACTCTGGAACACACACACACACACACACACACACACACACACACACACACACAATTTAGCAGCCTCACACATGAAACATTTATTTCTTGCTCAGATTACACATCCATGGTGGCTGGCAGAGTCTCTGTCCATCATAGGCCTTGACAGGAGACCCTCCCTCATCCCAGTCACACTAATGACTGGACTCCAGGCTTAATGTCAAAGGCAACACATGAGACTTTAGGAAAACAGGACGATGTCTTTGAACTCTCATGTAGGGAAAGATTTCTTAAATAATAAATGAAAAGAGTCCATGTCTAGAATAGCTAGGAACTGCCTACTCAGGGCAGAGACTGGCAATTCCATCCCTCAGCACAGGCTCCAAAGCCAAAGCCCTGAGGGGCCCTGCACACAGCACAGAGGGCTGCTCACAGCACTGTCCAAAACTACAAAAATGAAAATAATGCCCAAAGAAACCCACCTTGGGCATTGTTATAGGCTGAATAATCCCCTAAATTCCTAAGTTGAAGTCCTAGTCCCTATTTGCACATCAGGATGTGATGGTATTCAGATGGGGTCTTTAAAGAGGTGAAACTGTTATTGAGTATGTTAAAGCTGTAATGAAATGCTTCTTCTAAACACACACACACACACACACACACACACACACACACACATATAAAATAAGACAAAACCTTTAGGATGGGCCTGATCCAACATGGCTGATATCCTGGGAGATTAGGAAATAGAAACATACTCAGAGAGATGACCATGTGAGGACACGGAGAAGATGGCCACCCACAAACCGAAGAGAGACCTTAGGAAAAACCATTCTGCCTGGATCTTGACCTTGGACTATGACGATCCAGAACTGTGAAGAGAAGCATTTCGGTTTGGAAATGCAGCCTGAAGTCCACAGGCATCTTCCCGTTAGGCCCTCCTTCTCTCTCTCTCCAGTGGCTGCATTCAATATGCATGGCTGCTCAATCAGTTCAATACTGAGTATCCCATTCCACATGAAGCAGACCTGTGTAACTCAGGTGCAGCTCCATGGCTTCCTCTGGCCATGGTATAGGTGGGTGACATGTATCACTTGTGACTCACTTATGGGTTCCCCACAGCCCCACTTGACTGTGAAGTACATCCAGATGGAGGACCTATCAACATGTTTCTCAGGGACAGCAGCAGCACAGCATGTCCAGTTCATCTACTATGGACACATTGTGTGAACAGGAAACGAGTGGCACTCATTCAGGTCACTGAGACTCTAGTTTTTGTTACTACAGCAGGATTTGGCCAACGCTGACAAATGCTATAGGAATGACTACTTATTTGCCCTGGCCCCTATGCTGGATCTTCGGGCTCTTTCAGCTTTGCTGCTCATAATGCAATGATATCTGTGAGATGGTCACAAGGGCTTAGGCCTCAGCCAGGCACAGTGAACATCATCCTCATTCAGCCCTCCTGACCACTCAGTGACAAGGACAAATTACTTTAGGAATGAGGAGTTAGGCAAAATAAGATGGGACTAAACTTGTCTGCTCTCAGAACCCACACACCATGATTATATATCACAACTACCCATGGCATGAGCATGTGGGCAAGTAGTCAGATATATACATGCCTAGCACTGTTAATGTGGTGAAGCCAAAGCACCTCATACTCCCACCAATAGCACGAAGGAACCTATTTGCCATAATTTGGCAATTCTGGACTTGTAAGACTTAGAACCCTAGAACTGCTTATCTTTTCCTGTAGTACTGATGCTCTAGTTTGGAACCTAAATGTCCCCTAAAAGCCCACATGTTAAAGGCTGAGTCCCCATCTGGCTCCAATGGGAAGTGGTGGGACTTGAAGTGAAGCCTCATGGAAAGTTTCAAGTCACCTCAGGACCCCTTAAGATCCCCTTGAATGGATATGGGGCCATTCACCTGCTTTTACTTTTTCTTATCCTGAACATGAGGCAAATGGTTTTGCTACACGTTGCCATCATGAGCTGCCAACAAATGCTGAACTAAAACTCCCAAAATTGTGACCCTAAACCTTTCCTCTTCATAAGCTGATTTGCTCAGGCACATGTTACAGTAACAGGAAGCTAACTCAAGCACCTCTGACTTTTTAAAAATGTCATCTCTAATCCATCCTGAGTATGTGCTAGCACAAAAACTGATAGATACCCTGTTTCAGTACACTCCAGATGGCCAACCCAGGTGTCAATTGCGTTGATCTGAAATATCCCTATAACATGTACTGAATTTCAACTTAGATGGCTCTAAAATGGTTCCCCCTCACTATTGTTTCTCTACACCAACATCCAAGTGGCTCAAATACTGCAGCTTCACAAAGTATTACAATGTGTCAGAAGAGTTTTCCTTGAAGACAGGTCCTATAAAAACCTTTTGCTAGGGCCAATGGCCTAGCTTCTGAAGATAAGATCTCCAGTTATTTCCAAGGGAAGTGAGGGTCACACCCTAATCAGAGGCAGGCCTGGTATCTCAGTCAACTCCAAGCACATCCAGCAAACCCTGCCAGCTCTGCAGCTCCAGGGGTGCCCTCCTCCAGGTCATCTGCCCTATATACAGTCCTGCATGGTGCAACCTTCTTTCCCAAGGAGCAGAGCATCTGAGTCAATGCCCATTGACATCAGTGCTGGTGTCACTAGTGACAAACTACTTTGCAATGATCTAGAAGACCAGGCCATAGTCCACTCTTCTGTGCCACCTACACAGGCACCCACAAGCAGGCAATCTAGTCACTGTTAATGGCAAGAGCCCAATCACAGTGAATAGACTCTTCTTCTTTATAGGACCCAGACTCATTTTCCAGATTCTGCCAAGTGCTCTAAAGCCTACCAAGCAGACGCTGAGCAGACACCAAGCAGTAGGCCTTCAGAAGTATGGTGCACCATGAGTCAAGTCTCCAGGAGATGCCTTGGGGTACACAAGTCAGTTGGGACAATGGTAATTTTAAGCAGAAGGAACTGACTTCAGGTCCATCTGAGGTAGAAAAGTAGCTGCAGAAGGACCAGCAAGGTGGCAGAGGCCAGCTGGGTAACTGGACCATGATCCCAGAAAGCCCTTCTAGGTTCCATCATCAGAGCCATAGGTAGGCCCAGCCACAGGAACTAGAGTGTGAGAGATCAGTCTAGCCCTGAGCAGGGGGGTTGTGGAGCTGGACAGCCTTGTACAAAAGGCTCAGGGCTGGGCCCAGACACCTAGAGATGCCCACATCTGAACTGAAGTACACACTGGCTCTGTCAGCTTGCCTGCTTGCTGCAGGGGTTAAGGTATAGCACTTTGCTAAAATATCACTTTCCTGTTAGCAACATTCCTAGCTGTTTTATGTACAAGGAACCTGTGCTCTGAAATAATTTATAGGTTAAACCACCTGGACCGAAAGCAAACTATCCCAACAAGCTCTATTTTTCTGAAAGTCTTTCCAGATGTTTGTTTATCACTGTCTTCCTAATGTAGCCAGCTGCATTAAGTCTATGGTTCTACTGTTTTCTTCCAGTTTCCAAGATTAGCACTAAGCAGGTACCCGCTGGGTACTGGGCAGCTGTGTCTCCATCCTCTGGTAAATTTGGCTGGAGGAGCTTCTAGGCTCAGCTCACTGATCCTCATTCAAGTGCAGAACTGGTCTTTCTTCATTCCAATCCCTGGCCTGGGGCCTCACTGCTCTGATCTGCTACCTGCTCTTCACTTACCTAGAGCTCTCAGAACTCGGATCCCAAGTACACCTGGCATCTCCCAGCCCAACCCATCTAGCTACAGCTCCTCCCATCAGACCCTTTCACCCTCACAGCTTCACTGGGAACCTCCTCATGACACTGACCTGGGACACTTCTGGCTGAGGCTCTGCTGACAGAATGGGTACAGAGCTCCCGCCCACAAAACAAGGACTATCAGCAGCCACCATACGCTCAGCAGGTGATTCAACTTATATTTAATGAGACCAGCAATGTTCTAGGGACAAAAATCTACAACAAAGCCCAGACCTAGAGGCTCAGGCTCACAAGAGATGCAAGTCATTTACAACACTGGGGCTTTAAGTGTTGAACCATTGCTATGACACAATACGTCATGTATAAGGATTGTACAGAGTACTAGGACAGCACTAGCAGCTCCACCCGTGTCAGATTTTGAATACAACCAAGTGTGGCGAGAATGTTGCCATTCAGAAAGAGGAATGCCTAGAGTAGAGCCTAGCAAGGGGCTTGGATCCTACCCTCCTGCACCCAAACCTTTCAGCTGGCCAGGGATTCTGGTAAGCGCACAAGAAAGCATGGTTCTCAGCCAAGATGCCATCTTACCCCTTAGAAGGATGAATGTGGCTGCTTTACACTGCTCACAAATGGAATCCACCAAAGTGTGCAGTGATAGATAGGTGTATTTTTTTGGTCTTTTTGAAACAGGATCTTCCTGTAGCCCCAGCTGTCCTGGAATGCACTATGTAGACCAGGCTGGCTTGAACTCACAGAGATTCTCCTGCCTCTGCCTCCCAAGTGCTGGGATTAAAGGCATATGCCACCACACCCAGCTGATAGGTGGTTTTAAAAAGACAGTATATGCCAGGCGTGGTGGTGCACACCTTTAGTGCCAGGCAGGTGGATCTCTGTGTGTTCAAGGCTGACCTGGTCTACATAGTGAGTTCCAGGCCACCTGGGGCTATAGGGACCCTGTTTCACAAAAAAAGGTGTGTGTGTGTGTGTGTGTGTGTGTGTGTGTGTGTGTATGTGTATCCACCTGCTCCTCCGCCAGTGTTCTTAGCTCAGTTCATAGGCAGCCACCATCTGCCTGATTCCTCAGTGTACAAACTAAAGAGTCATTTTTCCACCTTTTCCTCTTCATCTAAACCAATAAATAAATAGTATATACATACAATGGGGTATTAATCATAAAAAAACAAATCTAACCAACATGGAACTGAAGGCATTGTTACATGAAATTTGCCAGGCACAGGAAGAAATGCCACAGGCTCTCATTTGTAGGTGGAAGCTATCAGAGTTGATCTAACAGAAGCAGAAAGCAGAAAAGTGGTCACTACAAGTCAGAAAAATTTGGGATGGGAGGACACATGAAGGTTATAGAACAGATACCAAACCACATCAGGTAATAGAAGTTCTACTATTCTACAGCACAGTATGGCACTTAGTTGATAACACTGGTTTACATATTTTACAAAGAACTAGAAGGCAGGCCTTCAAACACAACCCCACACAAAGAAATGATAAACATTTACGGAAACAGAAATGTCAACCACAGGACTGGATTACACATGGTGTTTGTACTTAATTATACTATACTCCATAGTTATGGCATTAAGAAAAAAAAAAAAAAAAAAAGCAGTGGCTTATTTCATGAAGGCTTCTTTCCGCTGTAGCCTAGAGTTAGAGGTCACAGGGAGCAGGGCTACCATTCAGGAATCAGGTTCAAGTAAGGCAGGCCTGGCAAATCTAGTTGTCTAGGTTAGAGCCCAAAAACCAGTTAGAAGCCTTTGTGAGTGTTCTTTGTGGGGGTAGCAGGTTGTAACAGTGCTACAAATTATCTGACAGGGGTTGATCTACAAAGCTGTTCTAGGGGAACAGGCCAGATGAGGTGGCACTAAGTTAGGAGTTACAGCTCATGTGGCACAGGCCTACATTCTGCTAGGACAGAGAGAGCTGCTCTTACTTCAACAGGACATCATCCAAAATACACGTGCTTCTCTGCCCAGCTAAATTCACTGAAGATGTCACTCTGTCCTGACGGTGCCATGGGGCTCCCTAGCTACGCATGGTACTTCATCACATGAGGCACTGCTGCATCTTTCTGGACCATTCTGGACCTTACATCTGAGGGATGCAAGATAGGGAATGTGAGAAAAGAGTGGATCTTGTGGGGTCTCTGGAACACCACAGGGGTACCCAGACACATTTCCTGGTCTCCTTTTGTCTCAGAGCCCTTTTCTTGTTTTTGAGGGTTTGGAACCCCCAGAGTGAGCTGATTCTGGCTTCCAAGGAGTGAACAGACTCTAAAGGAATAAGGACAAAGGCATAAGGCAAAGGCCTATGGAAGGGAGGCAACTGGTCCCACAGCACCAGAATCAGAGCTACATGAAGAACTGGACTGGGTCAGGGGCTCCTTGAGCCCAGGGAAGCTCTCTTGGGAGGCTGCTGCTCAGGCCAAGAACTTATGGATACAGAGTTAGGCCTGAACCAAGCAGGGGTGGCAAGATTAGCTAAGACAGGCCAGAGAGGAGTACCCATATTGAGTGCCAGAGCTTCTGAGAACCTAGCTAAGTACTGACTCACTGCAAGCAGCTGTGGGGCCACTGGTGACTGGCTTGATTCAGGGAGCAGGGGGCAAGGCAAAGTGGCATGGTACTCAGCAAAATTATTTGGGTCTTGAATAACTTCGAGAGTCTGGGAGAAGAATTCATAATTGTCCGGTAAAAGCAAATCCCCACTGAGGGAGGAGGCTGCCCAGGCCCCGGCTTAGCCTGCAGACATCCAAGGGTCTCACAGACATAGCTGAGGCTATCCTGATAGTGCTCAAAGCAGACAGACATGTAATCAACCAGCTGGGTCAAAAAGCAGTCCAGTAGTCATGGAGAGCCATCAAAAGTGCCTGGGTCTAAGCCAGGCACCCAGTGGAAGTCCATCCTGGGTGGCCAGGGGTCTGGCATGCGTCCAGTTGGAGGGTCTCTTTTTGTAGGTTTACAGCCAGGAGAATCATTAGCTGTGGCATTCTGCTCCACAGTTGTGTGTACACACACAGGGTCCCCACAGCAGGGCTGCTCAATCTAGGGATCCACCAGGAGAGGAGACACTACCCCAGATGAGGCACCATTCATCTGCTGCCAAGGGTGTACACTGGCGTAATTGGCTGCCACCTGGATAGGGTTTCGAAGGTCCTCCCAATGCCACCCATCACAAGGCACATTAGGAGCAGGCAGAAGGGAGGAAGAGCCCACTCAAGGCCAGGTGTGGACAGAGGCAGGCACACCACAGTAGGACAGGGATCAGCTGGACAGGGTGTGGCAGACCCACCATTCCAGGAAAATGCTGAGGACCAGGGGAGCTGAGCCGAGAAGAGTCGAGGGAACTGTCAGATGCAGGTCGTCATCCAAGGAAATCTGTCCAAAAACAAGGTGGGGAAGAGCAGGAACTAGGCCCAACCATCACCACTAGGCTGGCAGGAGGCAGCATGCAGGAAACCCCTTGGACCACCTCTAGAGCTCTGAGTGGAGGGTACAGGAGGCAAATGCTGCATGTGACTTTCAAAGTGTAATAACAGATACTGTCAAACCCAGGAGAAGAAAAGGGGCCAGAACAAAACTGTCAGGTTATTTCAGGACAATGACAGTAGCAACTTTTAGTTAAGTGTACCATTTATGCCAAATACTGACTACTCACCACCCAGAAACTGGGTACCATTATTGTTGCCAAAGAAGAGTGGCAAAGTGATTTGTGTGCTGCCACAATGCAATTAGTCTGGTGACAGAGAAGGAGGAACCTGGCTGTAGAGACAAGCTTAACCACAGACTCACTTCACAGGTTATGGATTGCCTTACAGAGGGCTGAGTGGGCTCCTGGCTGCCCCAAGCACTGTAAACAGCTAAGAACACAGAGCATGCCAAAGATTCTTGCACATCCCAGCACCAGGCACACTTGACAGAAGCAGGCACTCAGCTGTGATCTGTTCCTTCCTGTCCCTACCTCCATGATTCCCAGAGTGCCACCTACAGGCAAAGCTGCCCCACCCTAAGCATACCTCCCTACATACCCATCCCAGTCAACAGCCTAGCATCCTAATCTCCCAAAGTGAAATCCTACAATTCCACTGTGGAGTCTGCTCCTGCCAGCCCTAGATGGCTGAACTCACCCCCACTCCAACCAGTGGTCCCCAAGGAAGCCCCACTGCCTCTCAGGACAGGGAGCCCTACTGGATCCCAGTCTCTCTGGAGAGGGAGGCCCACCACTCAAGACCTCCTCTCAACTCTGCTTCATCCCTGTACACATAGCCCAATTCTCTACTAGCTCTCCCCTAGGAACACCACAGCCTGCACACATCTTCATGCCTGGTTTCCTATGTGTTTACCATCTTCCATCAGTCAGTTTCTCCAGAAAGGTACAGTGAGGGTGGTCTTTCTGCCAGCACCTCCTATGTGGCTTTCAACACTCAGCTGCCAGTGCCACTAGCACCTACTTCTACCATCCAAGCATTCTGTAACACCTCAGGTACACCCCTGCCTCACACCTGAAAGCTCAACCCTTGACTTCCCACCTTACTTGTAGTCTTCCACTGAGTTCTCAAAACGCAGGCAATTCAGACCCCAGTGCCCAAGGCTGGGTGTCAGGCTGCCCACAGAGATCATGTCGCAGGCCCACAAGTCAGTGTGCTGCCCAGGCCTCCCACGCCCACTATGAACCTTAGCTGTGACCTGCCCACTCACCTGCAAGCCTGCAAACTCCCCAGGGAGAAGCCACCCCCGCCACCCGCGCTGGAGTCTTTGCTTCAGCCTAGGTCTTCCTACTGAGCCAACTACTTTGAGAATTTTGGCCATGCCACGCCGCCCTTGTCTTGCAGTCTATTGATTTCCCGTGTCTCTCCCCAACCCTGCCTGGCAATGGGGAATTTGGCTCCTGCGTCCAAGTCTGGATAGCGATCTCCTAAAAGAGGGATGGCCGAGGCGTGTGCAAATTTACCTCCGCAGCGTCCGGAACGCGGGTGAGTCCCGGGAGACCCAGGAACAGAAGTTGCCCGAGGCCAAAGTGTGAATCAAGGGCAGATGACTGCACAGCCCGGCCCTCGCCCAGCAACCCCCATGCAGGAAACCCGAGTTCCTAAGCCCGGTGGCAACGAAGCCCACCTACCTCAGAACACCCGAGGCTACCGGCGCCAGGGTCCAAGGGCCTCCTTCCGAATGCCCACAGCCACCTGCAAAGTGGAGGAGATGAGCCTGAGCGAGGTCAGGTGGGGAGCGTGCGCGACTTCCCAAGAAGGCGGGAACAGCACAAAAGTTTCCAGGAGCCCCTCCACCCCCGTCGAGGACCGAGAAACTGAGGTCCAGCCACCCGCCCGGGGTTCCCGCCGCACACTGACCCCGCCGCAGAGGTCCAGACGCCCGGAGCGCTCAGCAGAGAGGAAACCGGGGCCAGAGAGTCTCGCGCAGCCACGCCCCCAGCGTGCGCGCGCGCGCCCGCCCGCCCTCGCTCCCGCTCGGAACACGCCCAACGCAGGCCTTCTCTCTGGGCCGCGCCTGCGCCGTTAGCCGTGGAGAGTCCGGGTTAGCGAAGCAGCGCAGCGCGGGTGCTTATGGGAGTGCGCGTCCGGTACCCTTGCAGAACCAAATGCCCCCGGAGTAGAGCTTCAGGGCGCGCAGGCGCGAGGTGGTTCTGCGCGTCTTCCCTGGGGAGTGATGCAGCGGAGGGGTTGCGGCCTGCGGGAGTAGAGGCAGGGCTGATGCGCGGGTATTGCGGGAACCGGCTGGATGCTGTGGGGCGCTTGACACCTGGAGGCCTGCCGCAGGGCCGGGATAAGACCTTGGGGGGCTGAGGGTGTCGCGAGGATTTGGGTATAGAGTTGAGCTCGTCTCAGGAGTGGCAGGTCCGCAGAGTGCCTCTCATTAGAGTCTGGGGCCTCGGTCCGTCTGTCTCCACCCCAGGAGTGGGAGGCTGGGCAGGCTACAGCAAGTCCGTCCACTTGCATGCCTAGCTGCTGCAGGCAAATACACAAGGCCTGTGGCTTTCCTCGTCGTGTGGGGGGGGCGGGGGGGGTTCTGGGTCTGGGCCTGTGTCTGTGTACGCTGCTGAACCCTGGCGGAGGCTTGGACCCAGAGAGGATAATGAGGGCCAGCTGCCAAGCCCTCCCTCACAGGGCTGTGCCTAGCCGAGCGTACTGCCCAACATGGGGAGCCCACTTAGTACTCAGACACTTAAGAAAGGCCAGGAAGGGGTGAGTCTGTGTGCCCCTCAGTGCTTGTGCAGGGGCCGCCGTGCCAGCTACTCTGCACAGCCCACACCTAGTGTGCTTGGCTGGGCCAAGGACAGCGGGATTTGCTGGACAGTGATCTTTCTGAAGACGAGCACATGCGTAGCACACCAGTTCTCTTTCTGCCCTGCTCTGGTGACTCCTTTCATGAAAGATCTCTGAAATGTTATCTGCGTTTATACCCAAACTAACTCGCTTTGATCCTTGAAACGAGAATCAAAGATCACATTGTACCTTCCCTGGGTCTGTGGGGCTTTCAGTAGCTGGAGCCAAAAATAATAAAAGTGGCATCCAGCCAGGAAACACCTCCTTGAAGTGTGAATGAAACTTGGATTTTTCGGTTGTATCTTTCCTAATTGACCTGATAATTTAAACTTCCTCCCTCAAGGGAAGGGGAGTTTCTGTGAATTCAGTTTACCTCAGTCATCAAGCAACTTGAGCCTACTCAGGGCTAGTCAGCAGAGACTGAGCAGCAGGCTTGTGCAAAAGTCTACCGGACCTATCTACCCCAAGTAGGCCCTTTTTGGTTCCAAATCATTTTTTGGCTTTATTTCAGGGCATTATCTAAAATGTATATAACAAAATGTGTCATATTAACCATTGTTAAGGATACAATGTGGTGGTATTAATAAATACATTCATATGACTGCAACCAGTGCCACTATTCCCAGAATTTTTTCATCACCCTAGAAACTACCCATTGAACAATTATACTTAACGTCTTATGTCCCAGGCCCTGGCATCCATTATTTTTGAGTCTGAATTTTGACTGTGTACCTTATGTACCTGCTACTCACACTATTTGTCCTTTTCTTGCTGTTGTATTTCACTTTTTTACAGATATTCTCTGGTGGGTGTATACCACGTTTGTTTATCCAGGCATCCCTCCATAGCATTGAGTTGTATTCACCATTTGGCCATTGTGAATAATGCTGCTATTAACATAGCTGTGAAAGATCAGCAACCAGGTATGGTGGCCCAAGCCTTTATCCCAGCACTTGGGAGGCAGAGGCAGGTGGATCTCTGGGAGTTCCAGGCCAGCCTGTTCTGTGTAGTGAATTCCAGATCAGCTAGGGCTACATAGTGAACCCCTGCCTCAAAAAAAAAAAAAAAAAACTTCCTGGAGAGATGGCTAGAGCACTAGCTGATTTTGCAGAGGACCTATAGGTTTAGATCCCAACACCCACTGGCTGCTAACAACTATCTGTAACTCTAGCTCCAAGGGACCCAACACCCTCTTCTGGCTTCCATGGGCATTGCATGCACACGGTCCACTTGCCATGCAAGCAAAACTCATACATGTAAAGAAAAATAATCAGGGCCTTTAATCCCAGCACTTGGAAGGCAGAGGCAGGCAAATCTCTTGGGATTGAGGTCAGCCTGGTCTACATAGTTCCAGGCCAGCTGGGGCTACAGGGAGACCCTGTCTCAAAAAAAGAAAAGAAAGTAAAAAAAATCCCCCCAAAATTTTTTAAAAATCTGATTTTAATTCTAGGTATATGCCTAAAAGAGTGGAACTGCTGAGGCTGAAGAGTTAGCTCAGCAGTTAAGAGTATTGCCTGCCCTCACAGAAGACCTGGGTTCAAATCCTAGCACCCACATGGCAGCTAACAACCATCTGTAACTCCAGTTTCAGGGGATCTGACACCCTCTTCTGTCCTCCTCAGGCATTGCATAACATGGGTGCTCTTAGATACATGCAGGCGTAACACTCATACACATAAAATAAAAATGAATTTTAAAAAATTTTAAAAGAGTGGAATTTGCTTTCCAAGCTTGAGCCTAGGTCATGGCAACATGGCTAAAGGCACTAAGAAGGTCAGGGTTGTGGGTAAATACGGGACCTGCTAAGGCACCTCCCTCTGGAAAATGACAAAGAAGATTGAAATCAGCCAGCATGCCAAGTATACTTGCTCCTTCCGTGGCAAGACCAAGAGGAACAGACAGGCTGTTGGCATCTGGCACTATGGTTCCTGCATGAAAACAGTAGCTGGTGGAAAGTGGACCTTCAGCGGCACTTCTGCTGTCAAAGTCAAGTCTGCCATCAAAAGACTGAAGGAATTGAAAGTCCAGTAGAAGCGCTGCCAAGTTTGGGACATCCCTAGCCCACAATAAATGGGTTAATATATGTAACACTAAAAAAATTTTTTTAAGTGGAATTAAATTATAAAATAATTCTGTTTTGTTTTTCAGTTTTTTGGTCTTTTTGAGACAGGTCTCTCTGTAGACCCCAGCTGTCCTGGAACTTACTATGTAGACCAGGCTGGCCTCGAACTCACAGAGATCTGCCTGCCTCTGCCTCCTGAGGGGTGGGATTAAAGGTATGCATCACCACATCTGGCACTATATATTTTTAAAAAATATTTTTAGTTTATCTGTATGAGTGTTTTGCCTGTGTGTATGTAAGTGTGCCATGTTCATGTAGTGCCCTGGAGGCCAGAAGAGGGTGTTAGATCCCCTGAAACTGGAATTCTAGGCAGTTGTTAGCTGCCACATAGGTGCTGGAAACTGAGCCTGAGTGAGTCCTCTGCAGGATCAGCCAGTGCTCTTCACTGGTGAGCCATCGCTCCAGCCCCGTGTTTTATTTTTTTTTCCATAATGGTGGCATCATTTTACATTGCCATCATTAGTGCTCAGGGATTCCATTTCCTCCACAACCTTTCCATTTAGATATTTCCAGGTTTCTAAGTAATAGTTATTTTTTTAATTTTTATTTATTATTTTTATTTTATGTGTATGCGTGTATTGCCTGCATGTAGATAAGTACACCCATGTCGCAGTGCCCTTGGAGGTCAGAAGAGGCTGCTGGATCCCCTGGGACTGCAGTTATGGACAGTTGTTAGCTGCCATGTGGGTGCTGGGAGTTGAACCTGGGTCTTCTGTAAAAACAACCAGTTCTTAACCGCTGAGCCATCTCTCCAGCCCCAGTAATAGTTATTTTATTGGATGTGATATGGTATTCATTATAGTTTTGATTTGCATTTCCCTAATGACTAGAGGGATTCTCTAGATCAGGTTGGCCTGTGGTGTATCTGGGGGATTATCTTGATTACCTTAATTGAGGTGGGATGATCTGCCCACTCTGAGTGGCCCAACTTCATAGGCAGTGGGTTATGAATTTTTTGAGTAGAGAAAGCAAGCTGAACACAAGCATGCACACATTAATTCATGCACTCTGCTCTTGACTGTGGATCTGACAACCAACTGCTTCAGGTTCCAGCTGCCTTGACCTCCCTGCAATGACGAACTGTAACCTGGACTTGTGAGCCAAGCAAAACTTTCTCCCCTAAGTTGCCGCTGTTGGGGTATTTTATCACAGCAGCAAAAATGAAACTAAGACAGCTGTAGTTCTCCACTCCCAGGTGTCTTTCATTCTGCTGATAATGTCCTTTGACACAGTTTTTAACTCTCATGAAATTCACTTAGTCTAATTGTTACTGCCTGTGCAGTATGCTACCTCCAAGAACTCATTGCTAAGCCAATGTTCTAAAGCATTTGTCTTGTGCATTTCTTCTGAGAGTTTTATGGCTTTAACATTAAATTTAGGTCTTTGATCCATTTTGAATTATTTTCTGTGTGTGGTATTAGATGAGGATCTGGCTTCATTCTTTAGTATCTGGATATTCAGTTTCTCAGCATTATCCATTAAAGAGACTGTCCTCCCTCCCTGCCTCCTTCCCTCCTACTCTCCTCTTTCTTGCTGAGACAGGGTCTCACACTGTACCCTAGACTTACTTCAAACTTGAAATCCTGCCTCAGCTTCCCTCCCAAGTGCTGAATTACAGGTATGTACCACCATGCCCAGCTGAGGATGGGTTTTTCTGTTTCTTCAAAAATACCATTGAGATCTTAAGAGGAATTGGTAAATCTTTAGATCACTTAGGGTGTATTGATGTTGGGTAGAGGTTATAGCCCAGTGGTAGAGCATGTGCCTCATATGAATGAGGCCCTGGTTTAATCCCCAGTAGCACAAAAGTATTAAGTTTTGCAGATCTACAAGCATAGTATGTCTTTTCCTTTTTTTTTTCCTTTTAGGTCTCCTTTAATCTTTTTCAAAACTTAGGAAGCTGAGGCAAAAGGATCAGCTTGGTCTTTATAGAAGTTCAAAGCCAGCCTGGGCTTTATAGAAGACTATATCTCAAAAAAATATTTATTACATACAGTTATTTGTATGAGTGG